AAAAATTACATGTGAAATAGAGTGCCATTGCATTCTCTTGTCTCAGCAAGCCCCATAAATATGCCCGCATTTTCACTAAATTCCTCATGATCACACTGAGGAATCAATGATTGTAATCACTATGGGAAAGCTGAACAAAAGGTTACGTTCTCATATTTTTTTTGGTTCTTTCAGAAATACTGTAACTGGGACGAGAGCAAAGACAGCTTTGTGCCTCCACAGAAAGAGGTTACGATGAAGTACAAAGTCGTAGTTACAACTATGGTCACAGCTGGCAGGTAAGAGCCAGTGTGTGGCATGTAAAGTGTCCATTATGATGTGTTTTTAAACACTCTTTGACATCTGGCACATTTTTCGTGTTATGAGCCATGCGGCACTTGATTATGCTGCTGTGTGTTTGTGTCTTTGTGAGGCTTGTGTCTGGAGGGATTCCAGTTGGCCATTTTTCGCATGTGTTTGTGGATGAGGGAGGCCAAGCTGTAGAGCCAGAGTGTGTCATTGCTATTGCAGGTAAACTATGAATGTCTGAACTACATGTTTTTCATCATGATGTCCTTCACCATGCACACTAAGCAAATATGTAGGACTCCCTTCATTCATTTGCACGTTAAAATTAGAAACATTCAGATCTGTGAGTGATGCTGAAAGGCTTCACTCTCAGACTGCAAAATGGGAGTTTTCCTTCCCACTGTTGCCATGTGCTTGCTCATAGGGGGCTTTGTGATTGTCACCTCAAGGTGCTTACGATATAAAGCGCCTTGTGGGGACTTTTGTTGAATTGGCGCTACATAAATAAAGTCTTTTGTGAAACCTTCAAGAATCTGAAATTCTTACATCCAACTTCCTGTTAAATATGTTTTTTTCCATTAAATCTGGTATTAATGCAGTACATGGACCTTTCATATATACACTTATCTGATTACAGAACTTTATCCACACCCAGCTGCTTTATACATGTTTTTTGTTTTCTCCAAAGCTAGCTAAAGGCTGTAAAATAAATAAATAAAATGTATGGGTTAAGACTTTTACAGCTTACAAATTCTGCATATATGTGACCTTAAGTCAGAGCAGTTGTAAATTAATTTGTTCTTACACATTACACTTCCTCAGTAAATCGGTTCTCGTGATTAAAGGTCATAACTTGCAAGTGCTGAAATTGATGCACCTTGTTACAGACTCATTTGTTGTTTCATAGGTCTGCTCGATGCAGAGAAAGGTCAGCTGGTACTGGCAGGAGATCCTAAGCAGCTGGGACCAATCCTTCGATCTCCTTTTGCAATAGAACATGGACTCGGTAAGTCCAGTGGTCTCATTTTCTTTTCTTTCTGATCAGATGGCGTTAGTTGCATCACTGTGTATCCCTGGCAGTTTTCACTGGTAATAGTTTAGGATCAAATGAATGCTTAGTGCTGCTTCAGTTATTTGAGTTTTTCTCAGATTAACATGAATTCAAATCTGTATCATGAATGCTTTTTAGGGCTTTCTCTACTGGAGAGGCTGATGAGACATAATTCGTTATATCAGAAAAATACAGACGGGCATTTTGACACTCGCTTTGTCACCAAACTGCTGCGAAACTACAGGTGGGTCTTTCAGCTATTGCTTGTCAAAGCCATTTTTTACTTGTGCTGCTGTGTTAATCACCAATAATGCTTCATCGTTTTTTTTATTGTTCTTCTTTTTCCTTCCCGTTCACTCAGGTCACACAGTGCTATTCTGAAAATCCCCAATGAGTTGTTCTATGAGAATGAATTGCAGGTGTTTGCTGACCAATGGGAGCGTGAGACCTATTGCAACTGGGAATACCTTCCGAAGAAGGTGAGGCCTCGGGAACTTTTCATTTATTTTGTTTGGTTTTTGGTTTTTTCTTGTCCCCCTAAGTCATCCGCAAAGCATATGATTAGATGCAAAGGTGTATTTGTCAACTCTGATTTCATCATACATTAATTTAAAAATAAAAAAAACTGTGATGAACATGAATAAATAAAATAGTAAAGTGCATCTGAGCTTTACAGATGCAATGTTTGCTTTGAAAGTGATGAGAGAGAAGTAAGGTCAGAAGGAGTTTCACTGTGTCTGTGGATCTAGAGAAACCATGTGATAGGGTGCTAAGAGAGGAACTGTGGTACTGAATGAGGAAGTCAAGAGTGGCAGTGATGTATGTGAGGGTGGTGCGGGACGTGCGTGAGAACAGCAAAACACTAGTGAAGTGTGTGGGAGTGACAGATGAGTTTAAGGTGGAGGTGGGATTACATCAGGGATTAGCTCTGAGCCTCTGCTGACAATTGAAGTTACACAAGAGGACTGTGATGTTCACGGACAACACTGTGATTTGTGAGTAGAGGAAAGGTGGAGGTATGCTAAAGTCAGTAGAAGCAAGATAGATGACATGTTTGAATGAGAGGGAGCAGAAGTAGTGAAGCTGGGTGAGATGGGTCTCGTCTATGCAAAGAACAAAAAAGTGCACAAGAGAGGTGAAGAAGGAGGCGCAGGCAGGGTGGAGTGGGTGGAGACAGAGGGCCAAGCTGGAAGTTGCTGGTACATGAGGGACCAGATTAGAAATGAGTATATCAGAGGGACAAGTTTGGTTGACTGGTTTTGGAGACGAAGTTTGCAGGGGTTTGTTTTGGAGATGTCCAGAGGAGGGATAGTGGATATATTTTGGATAAAGGATGCTGAAGATGGAAGAAAAAAGACTGGCTGAAACAAAAGTAGATATTAAAACATGAAAACAACTCATGTTGTAAAAGTACAATTTTTCTTAAAACTTCATAGACCTTATGGGAGTGCTCACGTGTACAATTCATGTGTAGTTTTAATTCACATTTTTAATTTCACTAAGGAGTCAGTCGCCAAATTGTATTTGAACCATATTTAACAAGAATAACTGACAGTGCTACCCCACTACAGGGTTTTCCAGTGATCTTCCATGGAGTGATGGGCAAAGATGAGAGAGAGGCGAACAGTCCGTCTTTCTTCAACGTGTCTGAGATTGAAGTCCTGATCGACTACCTCACCAAACTGATGGAAACGCAAGGAAAGAAGGGTCTCCCCAAACTGTCTGCAACAGACATCGGAATAATCGCCCCCTACAGAAAACAAGTGAATATGCATGGTGCACATTTGTGTTAAATGACTGAGGATAAAAGGAGGTTGTTTGGTTCATTCATAATTTCCCATGACTGCTTTTCTTTTTGCTAACAGGTTGAGAAAATCCAGAAGGCCCTGAGATTTGTCCCAGCGCTGAGTCGCTGGAGTGATCTCAAAGAGCTGAAGGTTAGCAGCTCTGCTGTAAACGATCTGTGTCAGTTAATATGGTTATATGCCCCCATGCAAACCTAAGATGCTCATTTACAGTGTCTTCTAAATTGTTTTAATAAAATGTAATCAAAAGATTGATCTGCCGTTTATTTCTAATCAGAAGTGTAATTTAATTGTTGAGGATGCATTCAACAGTTATAAGATTAAAGTTTTATTAGATGGTAGATGGTAAAGTGCAACCCCCCCCCCCCCCCCCCCCTTTTATAATATCAGGTCGGCTCTGTGGAGGAGTTTCAGGGACAAGAGAGGAAGATCATTATGGTCTCCACCGTCCGTAGCAGCATCAACTATGTCAAGATGGACAGAGACTTCAATATTGGGTTCCTGTCAAATGAAAAGGTTTGTCACATCATTTAAGCTTATAAGACAGCCTGCTGCTTCTTTAATGGTTGAATAAATTACTAATATATTCTTTTTTTATATATATGTATTCACTTGTAGAGGTTCAACGTAGCCTTGACGAGAGCCAGGTCCCTGCTTATAGTGGTGGGAAACCCTGTGATCCTCAAGAAGGACCCAACATGGGAGAAGTAAGCGAAGGCAAGATGTTTTGGGAGGCACTGAGTAAACGTAGTGATTACCGAAAGTGAAACCTCATTGTTAGCTGACAAAACAACCTCAAATTGTTCACTTTGTTGCCATTTTGGAGCCTTTGGGCTGTATAAAATTTGCCCAGTTAACAAGGAGTGCACATTTCTTGAGCATTTCTCACTCACGTTTTCTTAATTTTTGCTTTTTTGTTCACAGGTTCATCAGCTACTGTGTGAAGGAGAAGGGCTACACTGGATTTGAGTTCAGCGATGTGGAAGAGGAAGATGATATTGTGTCCAGACTGGCGACGCTGAAAATCAACATAGATTCTGAATGTGAGTACAGCTTTATCCTCAGTAAGACTGCAGCAGACAGTAGACTCGACAGTTGCATGTGTCTTTTTCTCCAGACTTTAGGCTTTATTTGCTGAGGTAAATAGTTGCATGATTGAAACCTTAAAATGTAAAAGCATTTAGAACAAAACATTTTCCCGGTGAGTCTCCAAAAGTTGATTCTGTTCATCTGGACTTAGCGTTCCCAGTAAGTATTCTTCAAAAAAAAATAAAAAATAAAAAATCTTTTGCTAAGATTTTGTCTTTGTTCTAGGTCCTGTTCCAGAGGAGAGTGCCATTCAGCAATTTGTGGACCCTGGGTGGAAAAATGAGCATTAACATTTCCTCTAAACTAGGACATAGCGTCTGCGACAGATGGATTTAAAGCCATTTGAATGCATAGCAAGTGTCAGTCTTTTATTTTATTCTCTGTCTTACTGCTTCAGCACATGATTTAAGACCATATCCTTTTATGAACCTATTTAAATGCAATAAATGCTCCTCTGTTTCTAATCACAGTGGCAAAATGAAGCAGTGAACTTTGGCTTTTTACACTTACCTGGTCTGTTTATTTAGCCCAGTTAACATAACTATGGCTGTACAGATGCTAAAATGTCCTACAGATGGGAAAAGAATGGAAGATCATTTTAATACACTGATTCATCACCGTATGTCTTATGACTTATGTCAATTCAAAACTTAAAAAAAATAAACTGACTTTTTGATCTGCTGTATATTATATTACACCGTGGTGCCTGATCATTTCCTTTAGCAGCATCGTCCTGTTCAAGAATGGACTGAGGAGACCGGTCTGTCTATTCGCAAAAATAGTTTATTAACAATGTTCATGTTCACTTCAGCTCAAATGTTCACTACAACACTTTCTGTTTACAAAGCATTATTACAATGAGCTTTTATAGAAATCTGGATCCTTTTAATTGATTTCAAATACTTCCAGAGAGAGAAATAAAAGTTGCACAACACTGAGCTGAAGCTGTTCCCACAGAGGTGTGCGATGTTAGTGCTTCTGTATGTGCGTGCACTGTAAAGACCCATGGATTTCTCATGCATGCATCAATAGAGCAAGGACATTTTTTAGCGGGACATTATCGGCATACACATGGACAGCAGTATAGTACATGCTCTTAGTGATATGTTCAACAATAGCTCCTCCGCTGCTCTATGGGAACGTTTTCAATTGTTATGATTCTACTCCCAGCTTTAAGTTATTTAACTCTCTGCCGATCTCTAATTCCCAAGTATTCCTTGCGAGAGCTTGTTAAGACACGTCAACACCATACCACCACTATGAAATGTTTTCATCGATAAGAAGTTGTAGAGATATGAATGTTTACCCTTGCCCAAATGGTGTGCTTGTTGTCCATATTAGTGCACAGAGTCCCGAGTTAAAAGTAGCATCCGCCCTCTAAAGATTGGAGGGTGGATAGAACATTAGTAGGTTGTTTGTGTGCGTTTGTCGGCTAAAACAATCACAACACCTCGTCTGAGCTGTAGCCTCTTTGCTGGCCCGCTCGTTTAAAGCATTTGTGCTTCACCAGCAGAGGGGTTTAAATTTGCATTACACACAGTATTACAATAACTGGTAGGTTTGGCGCTTTTGATGGAATTGTAAGAAGGTTGCATGCAACACAGATGATATTGTTTTTGCCACGTATACCGTATTAAGAAATCCACCCTTCATGCAACCAGTGGACATGTAAAGTAGATGACTGAGCAACAGTGGTGTGAAAGAGTGTGCCCCAGGACAGTCGGTGAGGGCCTTTCAAGAATATCAAGCTATTATCATCAGGGGAAGTTCACTAGAGTATTCTGCGAGGATATGAGCAAATACAGATACTAGAGGACGATCTGGCATGTCCTAGTGAACTGAAATTTAATTACATCCTTAAATGCCGAGTATATTTCCAAAGAGTGAGCTTAAATTCCATCCTATAGGTTGTAACTGATTTTTTTTTTTTAAGTAAAACATCAAAGGAAATGGTTGCATACAGATGTTTTCTCAATCAACCATATTGTAATTTTCACATGATGCAAGAACTTTAACTTCTTTTGCTCATCTGACAAGATAAAGATGTGTCCTACACAAAATGTTTTTTTTTTTAAATGATGGCATACATCAAATAACACATTTTACCATGCATCAATCTATTTAAAGAACCAAGCCTTGGAAAACAAAACATCAGAACGGTGACTCTTGACCTTGTCAGTGAGTATCAGCTTGACATTCAGCAGCTAGTCCATCTGGTCTGGGAGAGAACAACTGAAAAAGGCACACCAGAACAGAGAAGGCACCAGGAAAAAAAACAAAAGACTCACTCACTCACACTGTGGCTCTTCTCAGACATGTAAAGAATGTCGTCCAACCGGAAACATCCAGCCTAACAGGATGCGATTTCCATGACTGGGCTAACCAGCATTACAAACAAGATTCCAATAACGGGTGTAACCAGTTAACTTAGCAAAAAGAGCTGAACTTAGTCACTCATAATAAACAAACAAGGGAGGGTTCACCAGGCTGTGGCCTACATGTGATTCCACTTGTGTCATCTCCCTGTTGGTCCTAACAGCTATTGTGCATAGTTGAGTCATATTGGCTTGCGTCTCAGTTGGCCACCTCTCCCTCCCCTCCCATCTAGCTTCTAGCAACAATTACGAGGGGCGAATGTGAATAATTTTATGCAGAATGGGAAGCACACTCCTTTGTTGACACATTACATTACAGAAGCAGCTGCCTTTCTTTATCCTCGATGTGAGTGGGCTCATAATTGAGAAGGTGAAACTGATGTTTCATACCAACAAAAAAATGACACAAGCAACCATTTATTGTGCTTGACTTGACGAGCACTGAAAGCCTTTACTTATGGCTTTGCTCAGGTTTCACAATGACAACACTGTAAAATGAGCTACAGTACAATGAAGGGGTCCTCAGCCGAAATGCAAGCTCGCCGACAAACAGACGGTGGTGTATAAACTTAAAAAAGGCACTAGCTCTTATGGTCAAAAGATATCATCTTTAATTCTCTATCGCTACTGCTACAGTGAAACAGAACTGCCTATTTATACAAGCTAAGAATGATGCCACTTGCCCGAGAAGCTTGTGAAGAACAATACCGCATACAAATGTGCACCTACCAAAGCCAAGTTTAAAAAAAAAAAAAAAAAAAGTGTAAATTGTTAAGACAGATTTTGGGAGGGACAAAAGCAAATCAATACGGAAACATCAATTTCTAGCCACAGATGTCATATAGTTCATTTCCTGTATTAGGTTTGTTTATGTTCAATTCATCTGCCTGTCTTTGTCATGAAATGTGAGATACAGTACAAAGATCCATTTGGTAATAGGTCAGTCCTTTTTCATGTGTTATTTTTCTCCAATTGGTCAGCTGATTTGATGGCGTCTGGACTGCTCACAGCACCGTGCAGCCACTTCTCTTCTTGCGCTTGCGGACCTGCAGTGCTGCTCTTGTGGCCATCTCAAACACCTCCCGCACACCATCCTTCGTCTTGGCAGAACACTCCAAGTAGCCAAAAGCGCTGATCCTACCAGCCATGTCTCTGCCTTCTTCTGTCTTCACTGGCTCCTGCAGGGTTAGATCAGACACCATTAGGGACTCAATTAAAGTGCTGAGAAAAGAAGGAGAGCTCAGTTTACTTTCCAGGGAAAATCACGATACCACTGAGGAGATCCTTGATTTTTTCCCCCCTTTTAAAGTGAAATTAGAGCACTAACAATCAGTCAAGAATAAGTCATTCCATAAGCAGAATCAATACAAAATTATCAATGTAACTGTACTTAGAACATGAATTATTTTTCATGCAAAAAAAGGCTTTTTTTTTTTACCGTTTACTGCTCTTTTTGTTATACATGTGACAGTAAACTGAGTATTTTTGCATTTGAACTGCTGATAAAACAGTCTAAAGAGTCTAAACACCCCCTCACTACCATAATACTTATTAACAAAAGAATAAGTACAGTTTGATGTGCCTCTCACCGCCTTTTTGGCATGACTCATTTAACAACCCAACGAAATCTTGGAATCAAGGGCTCAAGTTTATGGCTTTATGTCTAAGCCATTTATCACATATCTTACAAATATCAAACCAATGTCTGTTTTACTATGTAAGAGTCAAACTCTTGAACTGACTACTGATGTCTTGATTTCCACAGACAGGAAAAGCTCATCTACAGATTCCACTGTGAAAACATAAAACTGAGATGTTATTCAGGCTTTCACTTTGCTGTTCTCCTTTTAGTGACAGAAAACAAAACATTTTGCTTTTTTGACATATCATTTATAATGTCAGTATGTTTTGATTAGCAAATTGAAATCTTTTACATCTTATGAAATCCGTTTGACAGAGACACATGCTTTAACTTGTTACTGACATTGACATTTTTGACATTGTGATTTTCTATATTTCGATTCTTCTATTGCTTTCTTACTCTAAATGATTGCATGCCAATCCTAGAAGAGGGATTCTTCTTCCTCCTGCTGTCTTCTCTCAATTTTATTTTGTAAAGCCATTTGATAGAAAGTGTCCAATTACATAATATCTTCTTTGCAGTACGAACGCTGTGTTTTACGATAAGCGTTCATACTCTGTGACAAATTAAACCAGCTTCCCTGAATCATATTTCATGCTCTGACTGTACAGCCATCTGAGGCTTCTGCTTTTCACATGCTGTTCTGGATTAGAACATTTGTCCTGTCATAGTTCTGATGTGGTCGAAAAATATTAAGAAAAGTCCTGTCACTGTCAGTAAGCTGTGAGATTGATGCTGTAGTTAATACACTGGTGGTTTAATGTCGTAAACATGTGGTTGAAACCCTGTACAATAATGAATTTTCCATTTCTACACACAGGCCTTTAGTGTTTCTATAAGCTGACAGTTCTTAAACAGAGTACGCTGGTGAAGCAGGAAAAGCAAGATTAACGTCATCTGTCATGTAGCTTTTTTAGAAATAAATGTGAGACTGCAAACATTCACAGGATGGTAGTGCTACATGACCCTTTTTTATTTATTTATTTTTTTTTAAAAGGGTCAATAACACGTGCCTAAATATGTCAAACAAAATCCTAACAAATGAAATGTTTCAACCCAGCACATATCCAGTGCCTTTTAGTGCCTGAGATTTCAAGAGCTCTCTACCTGCATCAGATTAGCTCATTCCACTGTTCATTGACCGTCAGGGGCCTTTGTACCTGCTTCATCTTGGCTAGCTCTCTCCGTGTATGCTCATCGTTCCTCAGGTCCTTCTTGTTCCCCACCAGGATGATGGGAACATTGGGACAGAAGTGCTTCACCTCAGGCGTCCACTTTTCAGGGATATTTTCTGTCCCAGGAAAGACAAGAAGTGAGCTGAAATACTCAGTATAGGGAGGAGAACTATAAAAAGAGGACAAGCAGTGCAGAGTCACAGTGCAGAACACTTCTCATGATGAATTGCTCTGCAGCCTCCTTGAGGCAAAGATGTTTTTAGCTGCATTAATCCCATCAAGTATATTAGGGTATTTTACAAGGACCCTCTCTCGCTTATTTGACCTACATTTGGTTATGTAAGATAGAGCAATATGTTCATGAACGATCATTTTAATGGAATATTAAGTTATAAGTACTATAAGTTTCGTTATTCATCATTTGTAATATGACATTTTAAAACAGACTACTCTACATTATTCTTTCCTCACCTAAACTGTCTGGGCTGTCAATGGAGAAGCACATCAGGATGACATCTGTATCGGGGTAAGAGAGAGGCCTCAACCTGTCATAGTCTTCCTGGCCTGCGGTATCCCACAATGCCAACTCCACCTGGAAAAAACACAACATCAAAACATGGATTCATCTGGAACAGAGAACAAATGCAGTTTTGCTCCTTAATATTACTCATCTTTATAAACACAGACTTATCTTGTAAACAGTTAACATACCGTTGCCCACTAATGGAGACGAATGCAACAGATAACCAGTCATGACATCACTTCTGCTCAATGACGCAGAAATTCTGAGGCATGTGGAGGATCTGAGTAATCTTCCCAAAGGCTGGAGGTTTAAATATGGGGAACCAAACAATGCTGGAAGTATCTGACATAGTATCGCTTTCCCCTCTGGCTACAACTACTTTCTTCATCTTAAAGTGAATTCTTTTTTTTTTTTTTTTTTTTTAAAATCACCCCAGCAGCTCTGACCTAATCAGGGCTTCATACTGTAAGTCTGTTAGTTGTGTAAGGCTGTCAGTGTTGTGGAAATGAACTTGGTGACTGGGCTCATCCCATCACACCACTGATTAATTCAATTAGGGAAAGTGAGAGATTAGCAACCATCAAACCGGTTAGCGTGTCTCCCTCTAAGGGCATCAACAGCCCAGCTTCCCTTGAGTTTGCTCTTCAGCTGACTCATTGGATTCAATGGAAAAAGAAAAAAGAAACTTTTGCAAAGTTTAAATACCAGAACTTTGCTGAATGACAGATTTTTGTCTGCCCACAGAAAGCACAAAAATCAGTTAACAGTCCCAAAATAGAGGTTTGCAGAGGCAGAAGGTGGGAGGTGGCCGAACACTGTTGAGACTGCATGAGGAACCAGAGCTCTATGTTCCCACTGGACTAGTTGTAAGCTGCAGAGTTCAGGAAGGGAAAGACAGAGGAAAAAGACCCAAAACCCCCCAGCTATTTGTGGAATCGGCTCAGTCCGCTGACGATGAGAGCATCTTTGCCTCATGGGGTGGGGGTTGAGGAGCTAAAAACTTGGGGCTGAACACAAATCTAATCCATCCTGTTGTGTAAGAAGCTAAATCTGACGGGATGGTTATCCTCCATAGAGACACTCAAAGACTTGACACTCACATCTTTTCCAAAATGATCCCTTTCTAATCTGTGCATCATGGCTCCCTAACTTTAAATTTCCTGTCCAGAACAAGAGCTTTAACCTCCTGCCTACCTTCACCTAAGAAGTGCAGCCAGGACAAGGACAGGAAGTGAGGCACGTTTATCAGGCAGTAGCATGAGGATGGTGATCCTGAGGGAAGGAATGGGATTGCTAAGATACATCCCTGTTCCCCGTCTGAACAGGAAGCTGGGAAGTAGAGTCATTTCCTGTTTTGCCAAGTTGTGTAGTGATGGTCGGCTAAAGAAAAAAAATAAAACGATTGGACATAACGAGGCATCTGCAGTTTAAACGCCACCCTCACCACCTTCCCATGACTCAGATTCAAGACGTCACACGCACAAAAAAACTGTACAGAGGTTTGTTTTCTCTTGTTTAAGGCTGTGCATGCAGCTCTTGTCCAGGAGCAAAAACACACACACACACACACGTAAACAATGGTGTCGATAGCACATTATCTCTTGTCTGGCTAATAAGGTCACTACTCTTTCAGAGTACCCCAATAAAAAAATTAAGTGTTGATATTTTTTTTTTGTAATTTGTGGAAACCAAGATTATATTTACGCCGCAATTAAGAAAAATGTATCTTCTTAATTTTCAACTGGTGCCTGTGGCCTGTTTTAATTTCGTTTAATGTAGTCCTTCAGAAAGCTAGCTCCTGAAATATTATAAAATCCACTTCACACTTGCATTCTCAGCCAGCAGTTGCATCATCATAATTAGAAGCCTACTTTGGTCAACTACTTAAAAAACAAACAAACAAACAAACAAAAACCTCAAGTGTTTATAGTACATCTGGCAACATTAGTGCAAACTGTCTGGTGTGAGAGATGGGAGAGGTTGACAGTAGCAGCAGTAATTGAGGCGGATTGGACTTTACTTACACTCTCATGTTCTTAAATCTATAATTAGCCTAAATAATTGAAAAGCATTTCTGTGTTCATGACGAGAGACACCATCACTTTAATCGAGTCAGTTTTTGTGTAAATAGCACAAACCTGTTTTCCGTCAACCTCGATGTCAGCGATGTAGTTCTCGAACACAGTAGGGACATAGACTTCGGGAAACTGATCTTTACTGAAAACAATGAGAAGACATGTTTTCCCACAAGCTCCGTCTCCAACAATCACCAGCTTCTTCCGAATGGCTGCCATTTCTGTTGGGAGAACAACAAGAAGTTCTTCAAAACATGTCTGCCTGAAGTCAAACAACACATTAACCGTCTCATCTATTTGTGGATTTTACATAGTAGTTATTTAAATTATTTGTAGGGATCATAAGATAAATCAAGAACACAGTGCTTTTTTTCCTTGCTCAAGCAGTGTAGCTCCAAAGCAACCACTCTGACATTTCTGACAGACCGTACGGCATTACACCTTCGGGAAAGCTCTGATCTACATACTGTCACGGCAAAATGCAGTCACAGACCTTGAATCCCCAATGCCAAATCTAGTCTACAAAGCCACACAAACAGAAGAGATGGAGGATGAGACTGGAGTGAAGGAGAGGAATAAAAGACATGTTGAGACAAGCTAGGAAATGAAGGGATTTGTTATCATCCTCTGCTGGCTTGCAAGGAGGAGAAAAGTGTAAGGAAATTAGAGTAGTTGGTGGCATCCTAAAAAAGCCAAAACACTAAACTCGTTTTGTTTCCATGTGTGTACTGTGCAGGCATCCTAGCCCTAAATCAAAATCAATTAAATGTTATACCTATGCTTTAAGAAGCTTTGCAAGTTTTTGTGCACAAACCATCAAGAAACATTATGGAGTATCCCCAGGTCAGAAGACTAGTTCAGCTGGTGTGTTTGGGGATGCATGGGGATGAGTTAGCAGTGCAGCTGATGGATGAGCTGGAGCCCTGCTGCCTGGGAGCAGCTGTGCATATAGTCATTTGGCTCCTCACCTCATCCACCTTCTGCCAGACAGTCTTGACACTAATACTCTTCACGAGGGGCACCGACTTATCAAGGGAAATTCATCTTTCTGTGCTACAGGCAAAACTTTAAGTCGAGTCTGCCCCAACGCCCACTTTTAATTACTGCTCAGATGCATGGCAACACCAGTGCTTTCAATAAGCAGCATCAAGCCATTCTTCAGACGTCACAATGAAACACAGACTGAGGTCATTATTTAAACTGTTGCTGGTTTCATATCGTATCATCAGGACGGCTTGTTAGACATGATTTATTTCATGCAGAGCTGGGGGGGGGGGGGGGGGGGGGGGGATGTGCAAAATTAATCTTCTGAATACCTTTTAACAAGTCATAAAATAACCATAAAAATAATAAGCTTGTTTAGCATCTCATCCGTTTACAAACACAAGAAAAATGAAAACGGGACACCACAGATTGTACAGATTTTACTACAGGAATAATTTGCAGACTGTTTGATAATACCCATCCCTAAAGTTAATGCTGTGGCAGGTTATCACTAGCAATTAGTTTGCTGTGTTTGGAAATGTGGAGAAATAATTACAGTTTACAGTCAGAAGACGAAGAAACTGACAGAATTTCAGATCTGAGTATCTGAAACCAGGGATTTTAACCAAAAAAAACCCCAAGCACAACTAATTATCTGAATGGGTTGTGGCTGCAGAAATATTTAGAAGTTGGAGAGTAAGGGTGACATGGGACTTCCAGAAAAAGCAAAGAAATTAGAGGTCAAACAACAGCCAGTAAAATTGAGGCAATTTCAGTGAAGGAAAAAGAGCTGACAGCTGGTTAACTGCCCATTCTATGTTGTGGTAAACACCTGGGTTAAGAAATAGCATTACAATGTGGAAATTTAATTGCATTTCACCATGTGTTGCTGACGGTAATCAGCCATGTGGAGCTACTGTCTATAATTGGTTTCAGCTTTTTTCCAAGTGGACACGAGTTGAAGCATAAGGTACCCAGAAAACCTCATATTGCCTTGACTTTTTCAGTAAATCCTCCATTGACCACTTTTGCCAGTAAACATCTCTATCAGCACCTAACCAGCTGACCTCGAATCAGACAACAGCTCATTTAAATACAGTCTGTGGAAGTACGTACAATTATTAAAATAAAATTACATGGACATGGTTAAGAAATAAATAGGCCGAATCAGTAGTTTTGCTCTGGAAAGAGCAAAATGAAAAGGGTAAGTGAATGAATTACTTGTCAGCTCCATTACCATGCATATGAAAACTTGGCATAACCAGGAGGAAACTTTGGGTGTTTGGCGGTTGACAGTTTTAATAACAACTTGGTTACTTGTTTCTTGCTATGGAAATTGTGGTCATGGGTATGATCATATTTTCTGTCTTTTGCCCAAGGACCCACTCCTACACTTCCCACAAACCGTGCTGCAGCTGCAAAGCTTTTGTTAAGCTGCACCAAATACTTAAGTTTGAATTTAGGCTGCTCACTCCATTTACTCACTCCAGTTATTCTGCATGTTTAATATGCTCATGAAGAACAAAAAAAAAAGGCTTTGACAGCTATAAAAGAACAACAAAAAATAATGAGCTGCATTGAAGAGTGCCTGATACTTCTCAACAGACACCACACAGCATCTTTTGCTTTTCAGAGACTGCCAAATGGACCAGAGATACTCTCAACTAGATGATGGGTTCAGAGCCAAACAAGTGGGAGACAGCAGCACCGAGGCCTCTGTGAAACAAAACAACCCACTTCCTGTTCTGTGGAGCCTGGGAGGAGCTTTTTTGGCTGTAGTTCTGTTTGGACAGGCCTCGGCTGAGCCGGAGCATGGAGGGAGCAGCCAGAGGCAACGCGTGCAAGCAAGCACAGACGTTTGCCTACATTCACATACATCCACATGTACACAGTTGCTCTTTGGAGCTGCACATTGAGTTCTTCCTATTGATATTAGCAGCCTGTGAGAGAACATCTTGACACGTTGACAAAAGGAAATTATGCGTGAAAATGTCCCATATAGTCACAAATGGTGCCAAATCCTCAGGCTGTCTATAACTGATGCTCTCAATTTAGGGACTAATGGATACTAATGACAGCAACTACTAAAGAGGCAGGTGGTTGCTAGTAGAAATCGATTTTGCTCTATCCTCCAGATGACACCTGTTCAACATGATTCAGCATGGAAAAAACTTTAGCTCATCCTCTCCACGTTCATACTGAAGTCTCTTCTTACCCTGATTCAATTAAAACATGTTTGAGCATCGCTTACCACAACTAGTGTCTGACTAGAAACCCCACTGGATGCAGGTGCAGTTGTTACTAAAAAAAATTAACACTCTTACTGAAAGCTTTGGAAAAGCCAAAATAAACTGGCATATATATATCTTTGACTGTACACAATGTAACTCGAGGCATCTGAACGTGCACAGAGATATTACTGGAATACGTTCATAAAAACTCAACTATCATGGTGGAGCTGGCTGAGGACCATCAGTTTTATTTACATCAAAGAAGCACACTGCCTGAAAAAACCAACAAAACAACACAGGATGACACCAAAGCAACTTTAATTAACTGACCTTAGAGTCAAGATTGAGTTACTTGGGAGAAAAGCCAACATTCATCTTTTATCTAGTGAGATGATCCTGAAATTTTTATTTTTCCCATCAAAATCTCAAAGCAAGGTCGTGACCCTTTGAAGAAAAAAAAAAGGCAAGGTTGCATTCTGGGTAACCTCAAAAGCAGCCTGTTTGTTTATTTGAAAAATATCCTTCTAGTTATGAAGCTAGGGTGCCTGCAAAAATTCATTGTGACTGCACTTCACATTGCAACATAATGTCTCCTACTGAGGCGCTCTGGTAGCCAATCCCTTAATTCTAAGGGATCATTTCAAGTGGAATAAGTTAAAAAATAATTACCACCACAGTAACTTTCCACAGTTGCATGGTATTTTCTCATAGTGCTGCTGCTATTGTTTTGGGCTCTGAAATACCTTCATGTTCACAGATCTGTTACCAAATCTAGACTTCCTGGATTGTATTTTATGCCTCTGGGGCAACAAGCTGCCATTGAACCTTGTGTTGTTTTCATAAAGGGCCGAGTTCTGTTGAAACAATACAACTCCTGGTCGCAGACTGCGTTAATAGCAGTTCAAACCGAGGAGTCCCTTTCCATATTATTTCACTGAAATGCAGGCCTGAAGAAAAAGATTGATTTCATTAAACTACAAGAAAAATCTGAAAAGAATGAACAATATCCTGTCTATCAGGACTTTATAAGATTTCTGCATTACACTGTGAGCCACACTGTAAAGACAATGTTCTTGCTAACGCGTTATGTGGTCCCTGAAGGAAAACAGGAAAAAAAAAAAAAAGCACTACTACAGGCTGCATTTAATTTTTCACAGTTCATCTCATGCTAAGACAAATGAGCCCAAAAGCAACCGAGGAACAATTTCCACTCTACTGTTTGCACTTGGTGTCAAGAAATGCAGTGACCACTTTCCTGGTTAATAACAAAGAACAGCACAAAAATGACAATTATCTACATACAAACAATTTACCAAGAAAACAAACACATGACAAAAGGTTTTCCTGTGAAGCCTGGAAATTGGCACAAAAAGATTAAAACCCACTGCTCTGAAGCAATAGCTTGCATTTTTATGGTCTCTTATGTATTTGTTGTCAAGTTGTAGGTATTTCAAAAGGCAAGTCTAGTAGCAGGCATTGAAAATTAGATTAGGCTACAAATGCTATGCATTTAACAGTAATACTGTTAAGGGTAATAAGAGTGAACTGCTAACATTATACTTGTCTGTTAAAATATGAAGGGATAGTACAGACAGAATTACCTCAAGGCTGGAATTAAGGGAAAAACAGCTTATGCCACTCTGTCCAAAGGTAACGAAATCCACTTACTCTCCAAATCCCCCAACATGTAAGAATATCCTGTTTGTTCATCCACAAAAAAAGAGAGAAGTATCAAAGTTTAAATAATTATGATGAATATTTCAGTTGGTAAGCTGTTCACATATAATCAAGAGGTATAAATGACCTAGATTTAATTATCCAGTCAATGAACGAAAAATGATTCTAATAACTTATTATGTATTTTTTTATTTATCTTATTATTTCATCATGAAACAGGTGTTAAATACAAACCAAAATTCAACAAACACGAATAAATATTTTTAGCATAGCGTCCTTATGAAGGGGATAAAGTGTAAAACAAGACTTAAGTCTTAAGTCTAAGACTTAGGTCATAAGACTTGGTCCAAAGACAACCATTAAAAGGGAAAGCAAAGCACCATTACTCTGTACAACTATTTGAGCAATGCCCCGGGTTAATGAACACGCCACCTCAATCCTTCTCTAAGGAGGTTTCCTGAGGCTTAAGGGCCAACAGGAGTTATGCAACAAGCTGAACAGAGTTACTGCAGAGTAGAGCGTGACCCTGACCGCTGAGGTAGAGCTGCCTCTCTCTGCTCATGTGAGTTTGATATCAATAACAATGCTGAACATACACGAACATCCAGCTATTAACAAACATGTTGTTCCTGAGACTACAGCGATGATGACTTTTTGTTCTCATGTCCTGCAAACATATAACAGGAAATGAATCCCATCAGGATTGTTTTGCACATATAACAAGGTCACAGGACTGATAGTGTGCACTACAGTAAAAGAAAAAAAAAAAAATCTGACACAGACAGGAGTTGTCAAGGAGCTCTGTCCAACTCTGGTTGTAGAAACAGGTTTTATAACTAACAGAATAATAAAAGCCAGACTGGATTTTGACTCAGTTTGACAGAGAAACATTCATTCCCATCTAGCCTGAATGTCTTCAGAGTAGCTCCAAACTACAGAAGAAAAAGGCCTTTTAATGTACTTCAGGGGCTTGCCTTTTACAAAAATGTCCTCAAGCAACTTCTGCACCTGAACCGCAACTCACAATAACAGACAACTTGTGCCTTCTATCCTCAAGAGGTGCAGTCCTGAAACAGTCCAGAAACCTTTAGATCTAAGGGCACCCAGGAATTAGCTGCACCTCTGCACGAGGCAACCTAAGAAATGGGACAAAGTTCATAAACTGGCAAAGGCTGTGTATGACATAGAGCAGACAGCCCGCAGGACCAGCTGTCAGCACCACCTACACACATCTCATCTACCAAGATTAAAGATTACACGGAGGAATTTGAAAGAGACCTTCAAGCCATTTCATATCTAGTACTTATTGATCAAATATAGCCCTCTTACTATAAGCTGTTGACTACAGCGCAAAAAAACGAAATGTTTCAATGCCGATCTGCATTACACAAGAGCAGGAACACACAGAGGAGATCAAGTCAGCCTCTCACATTCTTTGGGCACAAAAACCCCAGCTTCTGAGTCTCACTGAGTCATGACCATATGCTACACCCAAGGAAATGGTCAAATGTGCCAAAATCAGCTATGCCCAAGACATTAAAAAACAAACAAACCAAAAAACAAATATGATAGCTTTCGTTAGGCCTCTTAACAGCAATGGACAATTAATCCATATGAAGACGACCAGGTGATTGTAAACTAAACAGAGATTTTTATGCATTAAAGGACTGTTTACATTTTGGGAAATAAGTTGTTTTTTTCTTGCTGCAGTTCTGTAGGTTTGTACCAAGTTGTACCAACTTTCAGGTCGCTTTGTGATAAAGAGATCAGGAAAATCATGGCTTTAAGCCAAAGTTATGGCCTGGCAGAGTCTGGAAGGTCGATTTTAATAAACTAAACTAACTGCCTATCACTTCATAACAACAGTATAAGCATGTGATCAGAAAAGCAAATAAAGTTCCTTCAGGTGTTTGCAGTTTCAACACAATTACATAGGTGGAGTCTCATGCAGCAAAAACTTGTTTGATCACCATAATCAGCTGATTAATGACCTAGATAGATTGCTTCTGTCAAGCAGTCACGACTTTAAAAGTACAAAGGAAGACACTCTTGCTCTTGAAGCCTGCTGAGAGGAAGTAGGGGAAGACAACAGAGTTCAGTCAGCTGGCAAACTCTAAGGCAAGAAGCAGCGGATACACTGAGAGAGAACAGCTACCATAGGACTCACTTCTCTTCAGTAACTCAGGTCATGAGCAGCCAAACAGGGATGACTTGTTGGCCAAGAGGACTGAGTTTCCCTGAGTTTGTTTTTTGTCTGTTCCTTTAGAAGCCAACTGTTCTCATCTTTAAAGTCATAATAATGATAATAACTACTCAATACTTGTCCAATATTTTCTCAAATAAATGAGTAATTGATTGGCTTGCAATAGTAGAAATCTGTCAGTTATTCAGAGCACAGCCTAAGCTTTCAGGCTGTTTTCTTTCTCACTGGCACTTCACAATCTCTATGAGCATTTCTAGAATCTGTAGGTAAGAAGGACAGAGTTTTTTGGTAGTGAAAATTTTCTGTTTATATTCCAAGTGCTAGTTTACAAAACATATTTGAACAGGCTTCGTTTGCATACAGGTAAACAGTCAAAAGAGGGATGCCATTTGCAAAATTGCAATGGAGAACAATTGTCTGTTATCTGAAGGCACTGATGCTTTTTATTAACTTTTATAAAATGTATTTGCATTTCTAAACATTGACTGGTGGACAGAAATGAAAGTGTCATTGCCCAAAGAGGCTAAGCCACAAGGCTAGCTAATGAGTTCCTACACGGGAGAGTCCAAACCTAAAAGATATTTATTTTAAAATCATTTGATCAAAAATAAACTATTAATGTTAAAAAACAAACAAAACAATAACTTGATTCTTAAAATTTGTGGAATTCCAACTTCACATATCTTGTTCTCTACAAAATTCAAAGATATTTCAATAATTGTGAAACTTTAAAAAAGTGTTTACATTTTGTTTTTCGCTTGATGACAGAGCAACTGGTCTGTCTGTCAACAGACCAGTCAAATAATCCATTCATGTGCAACAGCACTTGGATTGTTTTCAAAATCAAATTTAAAAAAATTAGAACAACAACTTCATATGTAGCTGGAATAGGCCCTGCTGTGACCTTGAATTGGATAAGTGGAAGAGGATGGATGGATGGATGGATGAGCTTCGTGTGTACCATGGGTTAGCACAAATGAGACTTAGCTGCTTAAACAATTTTCACACTTTTTGAAAAAAATAAAATAAAAATAAAAAAACAAAACCCTGCAGGTAGTTCACACGAACTGTAATCTGCCATTTAGACGGCCAGAGTTTTTTTTAAAAAAAAATCCATATTCTAAACTGAACGTAAAGAGATTTTAATGTCTTGAAGAGCTGCCTTGAGATTTTGAGATAAAAGCCAAGTTGCTTTCTTCCTGAGATTCAGCAGATGAATCTGAAACTACAGCCAGACAGCCTAGTTTAGTGATAGAGAAGAAGTCTCTAATGACTTCCAGGCCACCTGGTGATAAATCACTGCACCCATCCAAGGGACTAATCATTTAGTACACATGTGGCATCTACATTTCAAAGACATTCCAATATTAGAGGTATAAATCTGCCAGAAATGCCTTTCACTTCACACTGGCAAACAACGAAATTGAGGATAGAAAGAACAATCAGAATAGAGAAAAGTGCTAAAAGCTGCTATTGGCTTTCAGACTGCAGACCAGTCAGCTGACTCAGGTGCATCAAGAATTTTGGTTAGCTTTCTAATTAATTTCAACAAACTAAGGAAAACATGTATGAGGTTATCCAATATATGTTTCTCTATTGTAGATTAAATCCCCAGTAACAGGGCTGGATTTTCACTTATTTACACATTATTAGTCCAAAGTTCATCCTCCACATTTCTTTCAGTATATTTGAAAAGCACTGTTTGTAGTTTAAACAGGAAACCTGAATCATAACAATGAGAAAATTAAGTGTTCCCAGGAATGGTACACTTGGAAATTTGCCATAAGGAACTGCTTAGCCTTATTGAGGTCGCAGCACTTGGAACAGTGAGAACATACCGACGGGATCTGATCTGGTGCCGTCACTTTTAAACTACCAGCAATGAAGCTATCAACAGTTGTACAGAAACACACCCCGCCAACTACAACCTCGCTGCTTAGACCTTACTGTAAATTACAGCGATGTCAGGAATTAAAGTGTCATCCACCCGAGAAAAGGCGAATGTTAGTAGGAGAAAAAGCCACCACCTTGTCCCTTTCACCCAAGTAAGTGAGCTATAATTAGACAGTCGGATTGTTTTTTTTTGAGTCAAACCACAGGCTCCGGTTCGTATTTACCTGTCACCAGCCGGACGAGAGGTTTTAATTAATCTTAATCCCTGCTTGCTCCTTCCTCTTGATCGTGACACACACAGACACACTTCTTGCTGCAGTGTTCGCTAAATTTACAGAGTGGGTGTTGAGAAACGGGGCAGGCAGGCAGAGATCCTCCCACTGACAAAAGCTACGAGCTAGGCTAACCTTCAACCACCTCCGGTCAAGCCTTTCAAAATAAATGGGTCAGCTTGCGGCTTCTTGACTTTTCCCTTTTTTGTGCTTTGGAAATAAATAAATGATAGAATGTAAACTTTTGTGAATCCAAGAAAAAATAGTTTTTTCCCTTGTCATCGAAGTTTACCTTGTTTTTCCGTTTTGCACATTCCATTTAATTTCACAAATTTTCAAGTCTGATGGGGCAGTTGCGCCATTATGTAACTGGTAGTCAAGCCCAGCTAACAGGGGTTATCTGTGTTGAAAAGTTTAGAAATACAAAATGCTTAATGGTCACATAACTGAAAAAACAAACAAAATATGCAAACAAAGCAAAAAAAACAAAACAAACAATTACACAAACAAAAACTTCTGGCTTTTAAAAAAAATTTTATTCTTGCATTTAAATCTTGTTGCACTGCCCACCATTAGCCGTTATGTCATCAAGAATTCGTGTCAAATTAAATCGAACACTTGCTTGATTTTGAAGACAGATGGTCGTGTTTCCTGTTTCTCTCTAGTTACCTCACACTAGCTTGATGCAGATTCTGCAGGCACTGGAGGCACCGGGGTCCCTCCTCCCCTTCCCAGTCAAAGATGACATCATCCGTAGTACAAGAAGACTCGTGCAACAGGAGGGATGGGTGTGGATCTCGCCAGTGTAGCCCTCTGTTATAACCTCCACTAACAAACAGCGCACACATGTTTCTGTTTATTAGTGTACTTTTAATAATTCTGACATTAAGTCACGCTGTGTTTTTGAAAATTACAAATGGGATCTTACTGTTTCCTCTGAGGAGTTTCAGTTGTTGACAAGTACATCAACAAACAACTAAATGTTTATTGCTTATAATTACATAATTCATAAAGGTGCCAGTCGCTAATAAGTGCATCTTCCTATATATCCAAGTGAGTAAGCTTTTACTTGCAGTCCATAATTATTTCTTTACAAAAGACCTACAATTCCTTATGGTCCCAGGGACTTTAGCTCAAATTGATTTTCCATTCTGCTTGAGTTTTCTTTTGTAACTGAAGTAATTCCTAATGTAATTCCAAACTTTTGAAGTGTTTCAGAAGTAGTGTAAAATGGCATATTGCATTGGTTTTAGGTTTGTAAGATTGTTAGACCTCTTGTGGATAAAATTGACAGTATACACAAGTGTTCTGTGGGATAACATGCTTTTGATTTCTTTTACTTTCTGGTAGACAAATATAAGTAAAATACAAGCAATAACTTATTTCTATGGTCATCAGTGAAACTGCAGAATGTGACAAAGTGAAGGGTCATCAGTTCAATTCAAAATAAATGGGTCAGGAATTGACAGAATTCCTATCGTTCCTATTTTTTTTTAACTCTTATTCTACTACACATGGGGTGGCTGTAGCTCAGGTGGCAGAGCAGGTCAGCCACTAATCAGAAGGTTGGTGGTTCGATCCCAGGCTGCCTCCTGGCTGCATGCCAAATATCCTTGGGCAAGATACTAACCCCATGTTTGCCTACTGGTGGTGGTCAGAGGGCCCGGTGGCGCCAGTGTCCGGCAGCCTTGCTTCTGTCAGTGCGCCCCAGGGCAGCTGTGGCTACAATGTAGCTTGCCATTGCCAGTGTGTGTGTGTGTGTGTGTGTGAATGGGTGAATGACTGAATGTAGTGTAAAGCGCTTTGGGGTCTTTAGGGACTAAGTAAAGCGCTATACAAATGCAGGCCATTTACCACTCAAATGCTTAGTACTCATGTCAATAACGAACCAAGGACCCTGTTTCCACAAAAGTTGAACACTGTGTAAAACGGGAATGAAAACAAAATACATTGATTTGTAAATCCCAGAAACCCATATTTTATTAACAATGGATCATGGAAAATATATCAAATGTTTAAAATGTTTTGAATGTTACTGAATGTGATGGCAGTAACATGACTGAAAAAGTTGGCATGGGGTTAATAAAAGGCTCTAAAAGTATACTAAAAAGAAACAGCTCTACTTATTAGGTTAACTGGCAACATGTTAGTAACACGACCGAGTCACAAAAACAGCATTCTAGCAGGGCAGAGTTTCAAAATGCAAAAAAGGGCAAAATGCAAATATAAATTGTGGAACATTTTCAAGAAAAAAAAGTTCCTTAACATAAAATTGTGACACCTTTGAATCATCAAGTAAATGACATCAAAAGACTCAGAGGATCTGGAGAAATCTCTGTGTGTAAGGAATACGGTCAGAAATCACTTCTGGACGTTGCTCTTTTGTTTACGGCAAAATTCATTTAAAATGGACGGAGGCAGAGTGGTCAGACGAACTGAAATCTCAACTTCTTTTTGGGAAACATGGACACTGTGTACTCCACACTAACGAGGAAGGACTTATTCTCATGTATATATCTCATGTATAGCTCATGCACATATCTTTCTACGTAGCACTTTTAATTCTTATCCCTACTTTTATTTTTTCATGTCTATTTAAGTGCTATTTATGACACTATGTTTGCACTGAAGCACCGCAGCAATTTCCTAATGTTGTAAACCTGCTCAACATTTGGCAATAAACCCCTTTCTGATTCTGATTCTGATTCCAGATTGTTATTAACACATATTTCAGTAATACAGTGCTGAACTATATATTGGAGCTATTTCAACGTCTTTTGACCAACTGAAGACATTTGAAAAAGCAAGAAATCTAACAAAGCTGCCCAACAGGACTGCTGAGCAGCAAGAGTTGTGTCAGACAAGAATAGGGCAATTTCCCTCTCCCAGAACTCCAGCAGCTGGTCTCTCCAGTTCCCAGATGTTTACAGGCGATTGCTAAAAAAAAAGAGGAAATGCTTCATGGTGGTAAACAACCCCATCCCAACCTTTTATAGACATGTTGGTACCTCTACATTCAAAGTGAACTTTTTTTTGTTTTCCTAAACTAGTAAATTTTCTCACTTGAAACATTTTATATGTTCCCTGTGTTCTACTGTGAATCAGATATGGGTTTAAGAGATTTACACGGCACCCCCAATTTTTTTTGACATTGAGGTTGTACATTAATATATAAATTCTTTGCTTCTTTTGAAACAGTTCAAGCATATTTTTTAAAAGTTTGTTGTATTCAAAAGTTCAGCTTGTATTAAAAGGAGTAACAGATTTATTGAGGAACCTAAGTCTCATCTAACTAGAACATTAACTGCTCCCTGAACTATTGTGACTCATCAGTTTGCTGCGACAAAGGTTCATTTCCTTTTGATAAATAAGGAGACTGGGAGTTAGTGACACAAGCACACTCAAAATAAATGGGAAAAATCTGATTTATTTCTTAACTGGAACACATTATCCCTCCACTACACATTTAGGTAGCTCATAGTCGGGGACACACTATCTGAACAAAGAGTTATGGATAGAAACATAAAAATAAAACATCTGATACTGCTTACAACCAAAGGTATCTTTAAAAATATATGCATAATCTAAAGAACAACGTGACATAACCAAAATGGTATAAAAGAGGTATGTAGTACATTTAAGGGCATACAATATATATTTTTTTGCCTCTTCTACAAGGGTCAAATTTAGTGCATTTGAAGAAAAAAACTCTCGAGTCCCTTTCATGTTTCAATAAGGCATATATGTGAAGTTTATCACATCTTACTATACTGAGACAATTATGGAGAACAATTTACTTTCTCATTTAAATATTAAACAAAGAAAAACGTTTAATTATAGTTAAATTATACAAATGATTCTTGTTTTTTCAACAAAAAAGCTTCATATTTCTTCACTGCAATGACAAAAAGAAGGAAGTCATATAGGAGCACATTCGTTTAAAAGATATCATGAAATCAACAGGCTACCACAGAGCATGTGCAACAGTCTTCAAGTGCCTCAGGTGTTGTCATTCATTTGTTACTGAGAAAGAAATCCTTCAACCAAGATTCAGTTGATTCTGCATGTTAACTAATTCTCTTCTTCCTTCTTTAATGCAACAACAAGAACCTGATGATTGTTTTTGCTGTTTATTCTGTATCTGATTTGCCATCCTTGTGCCTTGGGAGCATCTCTTTGGTTTCCTCACATTCTCTATTGCAATCCCCTTTACATTGTATGATTGATTCTTTTTTTAAATTTTAATTTTTAAAAAGGTATTCACTATTAGGGCACAACATTAAAATGAACAATCCATTTAAGGTTGGAGTAACTGCTTAGTCTCAAACATAAACAAGAAAGAAAAGTACAACGAGGGTTTAATTCTCACTGGCAACTGTCACAAACAGCAGGTTTGGGAGAAAATACTTTAATGTCACTGAACATGTTTAGTTGCATGACTGAGGACCAACCAAAGCAGATGGGAGACAGTTCCTGGTTTAAGATGAAGTGAAGGGACTGGGTCTCATATGGTAGGTTGATGAAGGTGCTGGTCAGACCCGAGTCTTCGCTATGACAAAGATGTTTTCTTCTCCCACTGCACCACTGGTCTGGGGTTTAGGGAGCTGAAAGAGGGAGGACCATGGGAAGGGCCCTAAAGAGTCAGCTCTGTCATAGTGGTGGCTACAACCTCGTCATGTCTCTGACTCATGCCCTGCCAGTGGGATGACAAACACAGTGATGTCATCACCAGAGCCCAGTCTATCGTTGGGTAGCCGCCAGCCACGCTCCTTCAGCACCCCCCTTGACCTCATAAGCAGGTCCTGCGCTGCCAGTGTATATCTGCACAACAAACACCGAGCAGAGGCATAAATCACAGTTACAGCATATTCAATATGGACAGCAGGGAAAAGACTGTGAAAAGGCATTATTAATTTAGTGTGAATGAATCTTGTATTTAAGTGCAGTAAGAGTACCTGTTCAGGAATGTTAAATAATAAGTAATTTTAATGAAAACATGACCAAAGTTCAGAGGAAAAATATCTCTGTGGTGGACTATATCAGCTTAAAGGTTCTCAGTCTTAACAAATTTGATGATATACCCTATACTGATCTCACTGATGTTTATCTGCT